AAGTGATGAGAAGATGTTTATTTTCTATTTAAACATAAAAACAGCATTTTAATAAAGGCTAAAGGTGACATAGATACTTTATTATGGTATAGTATTTGAATGTATGCCTGAGAAACATAAAATATTGGCCCTTTAAATTTAGAAAAAAAGCATATCTCCATGTCCATTTTCCATATTCAATAAGTGGAGCATAAATGTAGTTTTAAATTCAGTTTGTTTTTAGTAAAAAAGTGTAGCATTCACATGAAGTGTTACCTGTCTGAATCTCAGTGTCAGCAGCTGTCAGTACACTGAACTAAACCGTAGCTGTYTGCTTCAGCTCTGTGAAAAACTCATCTCCACAGCTGAACGCTATCTGACCAGCGAGCTAATGGAAGCTGGGCTAAAGTTCAGCTGGAGTCAGTAAGCCACGGTGCAACATTCAATGTTCAACCTCTTATCTTTTTCGATGCCTTTGACAAACAGTCCTACAGCGAATGACAATGAAAAAAAACAACACAAACAAACAAAAAAGACACTGGTATCATCTAGTCCATGAAYGATGCCTGCCACTCATTTTAAAAGCTTGCATTGTTCAGGCCTGGCATTTTGTAGGATGTAGGGTACGCTCTGACAGAAGAACAGACAAGCATCCACGCTCAGATTCACATGGAGCAGGGTTCTCTACTTAGCTCCGTCACCTCACATAACAATCACCAGCTAAACTAACATGTCTTTGAAAAAAACAGGCAAACTCTGACAGTGAGGCTACAGTCAACCAACAAGCTCTACGTGTGAAGTGGCATCATCAGTGCTACAATAGAGTTCTTTATTATATAAAAGCAGACATTTTGAATCAGGTTTTTGATTTGAAACTACTTACTGACAAGGCTGAAACAGGGCATCTTCCATTAAAATGCTTTGCTTTGTCTTTAGCAAGAAACACACAAGACTGAAGCAAAATATAAAAAAGTAGTAGTAGAGGAATTCAATACTCCAACTGTGCTYATGCTGTAAAACGTACAAGCACCGGTCAGCAATTCATCAGTTCCTGAAAAGCTGAGTTTGAGCCTTCAATATTAGAGCTTCCAGCAATCTCTGTTTTAGAAAAAAAAGGTCAGTGTTAATTTAGTTTCACACAGCTTTGCTCTTTGACAGTTTAGCAGTAATCATCAGCCCAATTTGGGTCTAAATTGTGAGTATTTTGTTGACGATTATGTTGCAGCACACTGGTCAGAGAAACATATTGTAGCTGCTTTTAGACATTTATGTTTATTTATTTTGTTAGGAAAATATTGTGTTGCTTTCAAAAGCCACCTCATGAAGCAACGCAACAACACTTTTTTATCACACTGAAGTCCTGTGAAGTTGTGTATCACGGTTTGGGGACCCAGTCTCAGGTTTTTTTTTTTTTTCATGGAACTAGCTTACTACTTAGTTTGCGGTAATTCCCGGAAACAAGTAATACAGCGCAGTAAGAAATGCCTTTTTTTGTGGTTATTYGTGAGTCTTCAAGATAAATTATTAAGGCCAAGATAATTGACTAATTTTGAAACATAAACATGAATGCACTGTAAATCAGGTTGTCACTGTACTGMTAAAGCATTTACAGCATCTTTCTACTGGAAACTGAAAATGTTTTGCTTTTGATAACCTGGCTTGAGATTGAGCAGAATGACTTTAATGGTAAACCAGATTAGAGGTTGGTTTTTGGTTGTAAATTCTTGTTTTGCATTTAAAAGTTTACTGATCACCTACATGAAATAGAAACGCTTTGAACAATCAAGGTTGCACACAAAACATAGTGTTCAGATGGAGAACAGCAGACTGACCAATGAAAGATGTTTCTCCCAGGTATCCTCTTCGTCTCAGCACCACTTCCATGTATTTATCCTCCTCATCCACCACATAATACTCCTTTTCCAAAGAGATCCAGGCCCAGTCCAGATGGAACTGCTGTCCTTTCAGCTTGTTTCCACCTAAAAAAATAATAAAAAAACACAGCAGGAAAACATATCATAAATATATTTTTTAAATATTATTTAGAAAATTTATTTATAATATTTGTGTCTTCAGATTTTGCTGATCACATTCCATATTCTATTTAAAATAGTGCCTAAAGAAGTAATTGTACTTTAATAATTTTCAGTATATGCAGTCAAGATATTGCTTCCTAAAAATACACATTTACACAAAAACACCATGAGCAACATAAAAACAGTCCCATATGATTCTCTATCAGTCTTTCGTGTGCCTTGGGATCAATTTAAAACTGTCTCCTGCTGAAACATGTTTGCTTTTCTGCTTTATCATTCAGAGGACTCTTGCAAATTAGTGTTATTAAAAAAAGCATTTACAGAGTAAATGGTGGATTTTGTGCCAGACCAAAAGATCTCTAATCCTGATACTTCAAAAAGTAGGCAGAAAGGATGCTGCTGTTGTGCATCTTATTTCATCACCGACTCCTGGGGGTTCATTACTGCAAGGAAATCACAAGAAGCAATGTAAAGAAGAAGTGGAGGAGGTTTTTGTTTRTTGTGATTTTTTGGAGGTGAGCACAATGTTGCTCCTATGTGCTTTGATACTTGTTTGAGTGAAAGGCACAGAAAATGTAACTATAAATATAAATACAATGGAATGGGCAACCACAGCAAAGGCTACGTTAACATGTAGACATATTGGTGCCATCTGGAATCCGTAGAGCATCGAACCATGAATTTCTGAGGAAGAATCCTAAACTTAACCAAGGAGTTAAGAGCAATCTTTAGACTGGTATCAAAACCACTTTTTGATGGTCTCTGTCTCGTCTCAGACTCGACCGCTTTTGTACTTGGTCTTGTCTCGGACATTGAGGGCTCAGGATTTTTTTTTCCAAGACCACAACTGTGGAAATATCACTACATTTTCAAAATTATTGTCCAATGTATTTGTTAACATCCTTGCTTTCAGTGGATTTGAAATGTACTGGTTCAAACCCAAGCATGCTGTCAATAAAAATTACTAAAACATCCCAAAAAATTCTGTGTTATAAAGGCAAATTATATGCTAGATGTTCGTGGATTAATATATAGGCCAAACTCTTGTTCCCTATTTTCACAATGTGCATAACAYATGAATATTTAGGTAAAATAATGCTATTTTGTGCATTTTGTAATTGATATATACAGCATGCGCAAGGTGTTAATGTGCGGCTGTGACATGTACACTAAACACTACACAATGATAGGCATAGCTCCTAGCAAATGACTGCTATAAATAGTGCAAAGCATTGCCAGTGGCCATTCCAGTTTTATGTTTTCAGTGGTGGTAACCTGAAGTAAGAATCTCATTTAGCTCCAGTGTGGACAGCTTTACATCTATTTGATTTTTTCAAGTTATTTGTCCATCTTAAAGGCTCAAATCGATGATAAATTGAATTTAATCTTCAAGACCAAAAGCTCCATTTTTGTTCAAATACTCTTGTGCAAACAAACTTGCGCCACTATGTCACTAAGCTGATGCCCTCCTTCTTCACATTTATCAACACACCTTCAGTTCAGTTATTTGTTCGTATGAAGCTCTAACACGGTGTGCTGACGCGGTGCTAAAACACAGAGGTGAAAAGTTCAGCACTTTCCAGCTTGACGAATGTAAGTGCGACCCGCTGAGTTGAGGAGACAGCTAAWATAATCAGGGTTCATGTACAGTATCCTCTGAAAGGCCTGCAGGCCAAGTTCAAGCTTCAYTCAATGGGTGCAAATACAAAAATTGCACACATGCACATCTCTTGGATTCCCACCTCACTGCAGYCTGCAACCTTGACTTTCATCTCAGCTCCACAGGAGTATAAATGCAGCATAAACTGTCTGAAATCTTAGCAMGTGTGTGTGTGTGTGTTCTAGTGTTTGTGTGTATTTTTCTCTGTGACCTCTCACTGGGTTTGAGTAGCTGTGCACCGACAAGTGAGATGTGAAGCAGTGGGCTTTAGAGTGTCTCATTGCTCCAGCCTTTTGGAAGGATAAAAGGCCTCTCGCATGTGCTGACCATTCAAAAAGGCAGCTTTGAAATCAGCCTCAACAGAGCAAAAATTCACTTTGCACATTCTTTCAAAGGTTTTTACTGACAAAGACGCGGCACACAGGTTGGTTTTCTTCRCGTCCTTTATCTTTTTCAAACCAATTTGGGATCATGACTTCTGTACAACAAGTTTCAAAGATCAGGAGACCCCCAAGAAAACCCAGAAGARAAACTCTGATGTTTGAATGCTACATTTTCTCTGATGGCGTGTGATGTACTTCATGCAATAATCTCTGAGAGCTGTAATGTCAGACGAGATTACACTCCAACAAAAAAGCCTTAATATCAAAAGGGATGAAACCTTAAAGCGCAGTGGTGTGAAGAGGTTTCTTGCTGGGATGAAGCTGTGAGAATTGTACTAGCATCCCTTTCAAGTTCCTAACAGAGCCTGCAAATACAGTTCAATTTCAGTGCTCTTGTTTCATTTGCCTTAGCTATAATAGATAGCAAAGCTCAATATGCAATAATAAACTAAAAGGTAAACAAACCTGAACATCAGCACAATTTAAAACAAATAAATGCATTATTATTTTTAAATGTAAAGAATTATGGCAGAATAACTTAATGAATACTAATGCTGCTGCTTGACTGCAGGATGAAGCTGTAATTATTTACTAAGATGTTAATCCTATTTTAGCAAAGAAAATGTCTTCCAGTATAATTAAATTTTGTAACACTTTTAAATTCCTTCCTGGTTGGCCTTGATACAGTTTGTTGTGTAACCGTAATTATAAACACTGCACCGCAGTTCAATTTATAAAATAACAGTGCCAATGCCAAATCGCTTTTTCTATTCAAATTTTGTTAAAGCGAGCTTTAAACTCACATTCCTCCATCTTCAAATGTCTTTCCTAAAAAGATGTATAAAGCCTACGAATCATTTCATTATGGCTGATGAATCTAGCATAAAAAATGCRTATTATCAGCCATTTTGTAAAAGAGGACATATCACACAAAATTCACTATTTTTTAGCTCTTGAATACATATTGTTGCTAATCGGGGTTCGAGTTCTGCAGGTTCGTTGTCTTCATTCTCCTCTGACTGACATCAACATTCAATGCTAGATGGACAAGTCTTCTATTGTTGACAACTTTTAATCAATTTGTAAATAATAAGTTGCTGCGCTGCTACATTTCTCCCTCTGTTGTCAAGCTACAAAAATGTCCCAACATAGTGGAGTGGAACGCTGCGTTCCAGTTGCAGCAGATTTCGAAATTTTGAAATCAGACTGACGTTAGTTTTGAGTTAAAAGCTTTCCAGTTTGGCAGAATGTCAGAAAAAAAAAACAGTCTTGATTTTTTGCTCTGATGGAATAATGCAACAACAAAACAACAATGGCGCTCTAWATTGCATCTTGAGTGTAAAAAACAGATTTTAAAAATATCCTCTAATAATCGCTATAAAGTACTACATGTAGGACTGACTTCATATAYAGTAAACAACAGAGMAYTGCTAAAAACCATGAAAGTAAGAGTTTATCTTTCTTTTGATGTGAAGACCAATCATTTGTAAATGATGATGTCATACATGCCCGGGTATGGTTGTCTTGAACCGACATGCCGACTTAAAATTACGACATTAAAAGTAGTTACAGTTGAGTTTTTAACAACTGGAGCACAGCATTAGACCTGGAAGTGGGTGGGGTGTGAAGTGCCTCATTTGCATTTAAAGGGGCAATATCATGTAAAATCAACTTTTTTGAGTTTTATGTCATGTTATAATGCTATTTTCTCATAAGATATAAAATGCCCAAAGCCTTGCTCTGACTCATTCATAAATGTTTGAGAAATCCTGCAGCGTTTTTAGGAAGCCATGCTGAGGAGCAAAACGACAAGTGGGGACCAGAAACGCCCCTGGGATGTGTCTTTAAGCCGAACTTCCTCATCACGGAGCATCCCCCCACCACCACCCCACACACCCCGCCCATGACTCCTGCAGGCTCTTGGCAGTAATAAAGCAAAGTGAAAGTGAAGCTTAAACTGTCTGCTGCTCTCAACACTACTTCTCACTTAGTGAAGCTCTTTTTAGATTCAAAATACCTTTGAGGAAATGTATTTTCAGATGCCAATTAACCTGCATCATAGCGCATGCGTGACCCCCCCACCCCCACCCCCCGGCTGCACTGAACGGGCCAATTTCAAGGTGTTTAGAAGAGGAAGTGATGAGAAGATAAGTTTATTTTCTATTTAAACAAAAAAAAAAAAAACAGCATTTTACTAACAACTAAAGGTGGCATACAGTAGATACTTTATTATGGTATAGTATTTAAATGTATGCCTGAGAAACACATAATATTGCYCCTTTMAAGAGACAACACTAAAACGAGTTGCTCTCAGACACACCACAAAACAGTGGTGAAAGAGGTTCAGGAGCTACAAAGCGAGTTAAWACCCTTTTTCGTGTTTGCTCATGTCAAAGACCACTGTATATGGCTGTTTGAGGCATTATAGCCTTAACCGCTTCTATTTAACAAAACAACAAACCCATCTTTACAACTATCTCACCAGCCGTTTTGATTCTGCTTTGTCTCAAGACAACAATAAAMCTTTTTATGGTATACTGTCATGCTAAAATGGCAAACAACAGAATAATTWAAAAAATAGAAAGGTAGCAAGACTTCTCTATTTCAAACAACATGTGTAACAAACAGAGTCAGAACTAGCTCTCACAGAAAATGAGGACAAATAAAGCCCTTGTTTGGATTAGTGTGTGGGACTTCATCAGTTTGTGCAGGACTCTTGTTGTGCAGCCCATTCTTTATTTGTACATTTTTTGTGTGTCAGAAGCTGCTGTATTACGCAACAACCAATGATGTGCACTTTTAGACATTTATTATTCACCAATTTGAGATCACTGCCGCCATGAGTTTCTTTAAGATTTCATGTGTGTGTGAGTGTGTACGTCTGAGAAAATGTTCCCCAA